CGATGTGGGGTCTGGGTCTCTGAACGACTCCGCAATAATGAAGACTGAGGTTGAGAGGATGATGGAGGGACCTGAGGGCGCGCCCACTCCGTGCCCAGAGGCACAGTGGCGGATCTACATAACCATGAAAAGCTGATGATCATGGTTCTGACGGATCGCATCGCATTTCCGAGCTCCAATGGGGGAGTCGCCTGAGGGTATTTCAAGTTGCTTTTGGTTGGAATCGTAGGGGGTGGCAGTGACTCGGGTTAGCGGTCGGTGGATTGGGCGAGGAGGCAAATATTGTCCAGGAGCAGCGATGACCCCATCTCCGAAGGGGAAACATGGGGTTGGACAAGGAATCGCGATTGACCATCTCCTGCCCAGGAGGAGGGGGGGGATCTAGGAGACCCCATGCGAGAAGTCGTCCAGGTCGGTTTCGGCGAAGCCATCATCGTTATTTCGGGCCTTGAGATGCCGCCTGCGAGGCGCTCCGGTCGGTCTCTCCTGAGACATCCCTGCAAGTGCGGGCTTCGAGATGCCGCGCGAGAGATAGTCCAGCCCATTCCGCTTAGACATCCTCGTCGCTGTCCTGAGGCGGTCCAGCTCTTTCGGCTTGAGACATCCTCGCAGTTGTAGGCTTCGAGGCACGCGATAGGACCATCCAGCTCCCCCCCCACACACTCGCAACACAGGGCCCATGGATGCCCTGACCTGAGCTGGTCCAGCAAGTTTCGCTTCACACTTCGTCACAACTGTGGGCTCGGATATGACCTGGCCTGAGGTCGTCCAGCCATATTCGCCCGATGCATCTTCGTTATTCTGGGTCAGTCGATGCTCTTGCCTCACGGTATCCGATCCCGTTTCCTCGTTGTTCTGGGTTTGCAGCTGCCGTGGACTGATCGTTTCGCTTGAGATCTCCTTGAACTCTGGGTTTATGCACTTATGTCCTCATCTCACGTGGTCCCGGTCCTTTTCGCCTGGGACATCGTCGGAGGTGTTTTCGGGGATGCCCACACCTGAGGTGGTTCAACCAATTTCGCCCGAGGTCTCCCTTTTCTGGGTTCAGAGATGTCCTGTCAATGCTGTCGCCGATGACCCATTCGACAATTTGTGCCACTTGCCAGATGAACACTCGGGGAGACTGGAACCCTCCTTATTGCAAGACTCGGGGAGACTGGAACCCTCCTTGTTGCCAGACTCGAGGAGACTGGAACCCTCCTTGTTGCCAGACTCGGGGAGACTAGAACCCTCCTTGTTGCCAGTGGCAAATATGTCAATCGGGGCCACTTGTCAAACGGGCGAGGGTACTTAGCTGGGCACTGTATGAGGCGAGTTGCCCGTCCTTTGCCGATGGGATTTTGGGAGGAAATGATTTCGTACGCTAGTCACCCAAAGGGGTATGCGGATTTTCCTTGCCTTAGATGCTGCGTGGCGCTTCGTCGGAGGGGAGGCCCGACGTTGCCCCACCAGCCAGACCACTGCTGCTGCACCGCGCCTTGCCTTTGCGCAAAAACAAAAATGATATCATTTCGCCTTCAAGGCCGGTGGGTTCGGAAGTCATGGGGCGTCGCGTCACGTTCGCGGGAGTGGTCAGTGATATGCCAGCACCAAGCTTCCAAAACATACCAGTGCATAGCAAAGGACCGCCTAGCCTATCGTGGCATCGCAGCGCTGCATGACATGACATGGCACGGCACAGCACTACACAGCTAACCGTGCCAGTGCATATCACAGTATTGTTCAGCATGCCAAAGCATTGTATTACATAACATTGTCTAGCTGAGCCTAGCACAGCACGTCATGACGTAACATTGCCTAGCATGGTATTGTATCTCATGCCACGTCGTGGCGTACTGTGGCATTCCAATGCGCACACATTCATCGAACAGCACCGTACTGTTCTGCGCACCAGTAAACAGAAGTCATGCAAATATCACACGCCCGTTGTTGTCATTACCGTCGTCCTGTTGATAGCTCAAAACATGACATAACAGTGCATTGCATAGCCCGGCATGCCGTGTCTGCGCATACCATGTAACGCGGTCGCGTCGCTCTTCTTAGGAAACACAGCATGATATGGCTGAGTGTACCATCCCGTATCTTATCATAGCGTTTCACAACACAGCATGGCATAGCATGCAATGCGCATTGTAGAGTATATCATGTTATTGCATTGCGTACTGCATCGTGACATTGCGTTTTATAGTGTAGCATTGTGTATCATGGCATTCCATAGTATAGTGCAACATGTCGCTGTGGCGCTGCATGTTTTCCTGGCCCATAGCCTGGCGACAGATCACCAGTCGACCGGTCGATGAGAGCGGAGACGGAGGAATGAGGAAGAGGCAGGAGGAACCAGAGAACCTTGACCCCATTATTCATGACCGCCCTGTCGTCTCAATGCGGTCAGCACTCGACCAGCTAGAACCTAAGCGCGCGAAGCGCTCATGATGGTTCTAGTATCTTTATATCTATACACATACATATACATACTCCTACTTATTTTTTTACAGGGCCGGGGACCCCGGAAAAGCGGCACACGGTGCCCCCCCCAAACGAATTTCGGCCTTCCCGAGCCTTTGGGGCGCTCCTGCAGAGTGCATCCGTGGATCTCCGGTCCTCCTGGACCCCCCAGGCAGGTCTGTCCTGCGAGTCCGACGCGTAAAAAGAAGCCCCCACGACGGCCAAAGAGGGCCCCGAGACACCCAAAGATCGGCGCAAGACGCCCAATATGGGCCCAAGACTGCCCAAGAGGCCTCCAAGACGCCCCAAGAGACCCCCAAGAGGCCTCCCAAGAGAGCCCCGAGAGGCTAAAATGGTTGATTTTCCTGTGTGTTTTTCGATGTTTTTGGCCTTCTCGCTTTTTCCGCTTCCCCACGCTCCAACACGGCCCAAGAGGCTCCCTAGATCGCCCCAGTACTGCCCAAGAGGCCCCCAAGAAGGCCCCAACACGGTCCAGGAGGGCTCCAAGACCGCCCAAGAGACGCCCAAGGCGGCCGAAGAGAGCACCAAGACGGCCCCAAGAGAGGCCCAAGAGGGCGCCCAAAGATTCAAAACTTAAGTTTTCCGCCGCGAGCGGGCCCCGAGAGGCCCCAAGAGGGCCCCATGAGGTCCCAAGAGGCTCCCCAGAGGCCCCAAGGAGCCCCCAAGAGGCCCCCGGAGGCCCCAAAAAGATCCCAAGAGGCCCACAAACAGCCCCCAAGAGGCTTCAAAACTGCCTCCAAGAGGCCCCCGAGAGGCGTACCACGAGATCCCAACACAGCGGTCTCCCCCTCTCATTATCCCTTCTCTTTGTCGTCGTCGTCGTTGTCGTCGTCCCCATCCTCTTCCTCGTGGTTCCCAAAAGCTACGCGAGAGGTGATTTGGCTTATATCGCTCGAAACATCCTCAAAACTTTTGGGTTCGGGGATACCGTGACCTGAGGTTGCCTTGTCAGTTTCGCTTGAGACATCGTCGCTACGCTAGGCTTGAAGATGCCGCCCGCGAGGTGATTTGGTCAGCTTGGCCTGAGACATCCCCGCAATTCTGGGCAAAGAGATGCGGCGTGCGACGGGATCCAGCCAGTTTCGCATGAGACATCCCTGCAATTCCGAGCAACTGTTGAGGAGTGCGAAGCGAAGGAGAAGTGGAAGGAGGAGGAGTAGCAGGATGTCTGAAGACGAGGAGGAGGAAGGATACTGCTCGTTTTGCTGTCAGACAAGTACTCTTGTTTTCAATGCTCTCGGGGCACTTCTCGTCGCCACGGCTGGACGCGGCTCGATCATGCCTGGTGATGTGGGCTGGTGCTCTGCCGACGAAAGGTGTATCACGGGCCCGTTCGCGCCCAGATTGTGGGGATATCTCGAACGGTCCGTTTGTTTTACGGGGTGCAGGTGTGTTTCAGAGCCGTGTTGTCTTCGCTGGCCATTCTGGTTGGCTTTAGGGCTGTTATCGGCCCCATCCAGGGCTTGCCTTGGCTGGCGGGGGGGGCAGTGCACCTGAGCCCAGGTGCCCGGGTCGCACGGGACAGCTCCAGGCGACCCCGGCAACCCCAACGGCGGTGCCAAGGAGGTGCCGGGGAGGGGTTGCCCTCAAAAGAGCTGGGGGCGCCCCAAGGCCCACAGCGAGCTATTCTCAGAACCTCGGGCTGCGAGATGCCCTTACTTGATCTGCTCTGGCTCGTATCGCTTGAGACGTTCTCACAGTCCTGGATTCCAAGATGTGGTTCGCGAGGTATTCGTGCTCGTTTTTCCTGAGACGTCCTCAGCACCCCAGGCTTCGAGATGCCCTGACTTGATGTGCGCTCTGGCGTTTGAAAGGCGTCTTGGGCCATCTGAAGGGGGCGTCTTGGACCGATCGTTCGACGACTGGGAGCCCTCTTGGACCGTCTTGGAGGCCTTTGGGGGCCCTCTTGGAGCGCTCTGGCGGGCCTGAAGGACGGCGCCCAGAAGGAAAACCATCTCTGACCCGATCCGGCCGGGGTACTTTTCGTCCGAGGGACCCCCAGGGGCCGCCCCACCCGCGCGATGTAGACATATTGTGAAGCAGCTTCCGGAGATCTCAGCACGCCTCTGGCCCGCTGGGCCGGCGCATTTTGAAAGGTCTAGAGTTACTGTGTACCCCCCATGCGCCCCGGGATCGTGTCGTCCCCCGTGGTGCGTGTTCCCTCCCGCCCGTCTCTTTCTCCTCGAGAGCCCTGCGGCCTCGGGGGCGCGATCGGGTCTGTCCTCCTCCCCCTCCTCCGCCTCCTCCTCCGCCTCCTCCTCCTCCGCCTCCTCCTCCGCCTCCTCCTCCTCCGCCTCCTCCTCCACCTCCTCCTCCTCCTCCTCCTCCTCGTCCCTCCTCCTCCTCCTCCTCCTCCTCCTCCTCCTCCTCCTCCTCCTCCTCCTCCCCCTCCTCCTCCTCCTCCTCCCTCCTCCTCCTCCTCCTCCGCCTCCTCCTCCTCCTCCTCCTCCTCCTCCTCCTCCTCCGACTCGATCCCCTTCGTCCTCCTCGAGGAGGAGGTCCGAGGATTCAGGCTTCCTCCCGTTGCCATGTAGGACACCAGGGTGCAGCCGCTGCTGGCGAATTTCGTGGTGCTGACAGCGATGAGCCGCACCTCCGTCCGGCCGTGCACGCTCTCCTCCTCGCCGCCTTCTCCTCACCTCCCAGCTCTTCCGCCTCTCGGAGGAGGGCGAGGAGTTGAGACGGCGGCAGCTGGCCTCCAGGGGGGCCCCCTCGGCCGCCACGGCTGGGCGCAGGTCGAAGGACGGGTGCGCTGGGACCCAGGGTCCCGGGACCGGTTTTGAGCTGCCGCTGTCCCCGCTCGCCCTGCTCCGCTCCTCGCCGCCCCCTCCCCAGCCTCGCCCCTCCCCTTCAGGCTCAGTCGAGAAAGGCAGCACGGCATGAACAGGGGGGGGGGGGGGCAGCAGGGGAGGGGTGAGGACGAGGAGGAGGAGGAGGAGGAGGAGGAGGAGGAGGAGGAGGAGCTCCGCGCGAATCTCTTAAGCAGCCTCCTTCCAAGAAGCCCTCCCCCCTCCCTCCACCCCCTTGTGCGCGCCGCGCCAGCTTCTGCTGCTCCTTCCTCTTCTACTTTAGGCGCATGCTTTGAGCGGCCAGCTGTTTCCCACCGCCATCATCGCAGCAAGTGGATCGAGGAATACTCCGAGTTTCTCAATAAGCGTCGGGGGGGCGTCACCCCCGCCAACAGCCCCACATCGACCCCCGTCGCGGGCAGCCACCGCGCGCCGAAGGCGCTCCGACCCCCGTCGCGGCGCGACGACGAGGTGAGGTTGACCCCCGTCGGAGGGTACCCTCCCAACGCTTATTGAGAAACCCAGAGTCGGGGAACAAGTACTGGCATATAAACTTTGAAGCTCAGAGGCCCACGCGGGTTCCTCGGATCGGCGCTGGGCCCCCTGGCGGCGCCTCCGGCGCCGATCCGAGAAGTCCGCGCGGTCTCCGAGTTGTTGCGTTCCTGTCGCTGCTTGCTCCCCCGATGGGTAGGGGAGCCCCCTCCCTGCAGGGAGGGAGGGAGGGAGGGAGGGAGGGAGGGAGGGGGGGGGGAGGGAGGGAGGAGGGAGGGGAGGGAGGGAGGGGGGGCTCCCTCCCTGCAGGGAGGGGGCCCTGCAGCAGGAGAGGGGCCCTGAGGGCAGGAGAGGGCTTTTCCGGGCCCTGCGCCCTCGCTGCTCGCGGCCTCCTCGCCCTGCGCCGAGGAGCCTCAGAGCGTGTGCGAGCCCAGCTCTCGAGCGGGGGCTCGACTACAGAAGTGATCTTCCCCCAAAGTTGGGTTTCTCGTCGAATCTTCTAGCAAACACGTAGAGCCTTCGAAGGTCCACGGACATCCTGCGTCTTTTTTCGGAGATTCCACTTGGGGGGACATGAATTCTTTGGTCGATCTCCGACTCGAAGCCTGTGTCTGCTCCGCTCACTTCCGCCGATAGCGCCGCAGCCTGGCTCCGGCCCTCACAGTAACCGCCTGCGTCGTAGCGAAGGGTTTCGGTGGACCAGCAAGCGTTGGCGCCAGCACACGTTCGGATCGGCGGTGGGCCCGAGAGAATAGGGGCGGCTCGCGCAGGCTCCCTCCTCCTCCTCCTCCTCCTTCTCCTCCTCCTCCGCCTCCTCCTCCTCCTCCTCCTCCTCCTCCTCCTCGTACTCCTCCTCCTCGGCCCGCGAGGCTCGGAAGCCCCCCGGCCTTCTGAGAAGTGTCCCGGGCCCCCCCCCCGAAGACACAGGAGACTTCGCAGGAGGCCGGAGGGCTTGTGAGACGCCCCGCCGCCTTCTGAGAAGGCCTCCTCTTCCTTCACTTGCCCCCCCAGCGCGCCGCCGAGTATCAGTCAAAAGTCAATCCCCGGGCCCCCCCCCCCCGGGGGGTCCCCGGGGCCCGAAGACGGCCCCCCGGAGGTCGAAGCCTAGGAAAAGCCGCCTCGCTCTTCGGGCCTCGAGGTCCGAACCTCGACGCTCGAGCCTCGAAGCTCACCCCCCCCTCGCTCGCCGCCTGAGTTCTCAGGGGCGCCGCGCGGCCCCGTGGGTTGCAGCGCCGCTGTGGGCCCGCCGTGGCCGGCCCGCCGTGGTGCCTGCGGGGCGCGGCGGGCGCGCTCCGCGCGCGGCGGGGCGCTGCCGCAGGACGGCCGCCCCCGCGGGGCTCGTCTCGGTGCCTCCGAGTCGCGTCTCCTCCTCCTCCTCCTCCTCCTCCTCCTCCTCCTCCTCCTCCTCCTCGTCCTCCTCCTCCTCCTTCTGCTCCGCCTCCTCCTCCTCGCCCTCCTCCTCCGCCTCCTCCTCCTCCTCCTCGTCCTCCTCCTCCTCCTCGTCCTCCTCCTCCTCGTCCTTCTCGTCCTCCTCCCCGCCTCCTCCTCCTCGTCCTCCTCCTCTTTTTCCTCCTGCCCGTAGGGACCAGGAGGAAAACAGGCGGGTAGCAGCCCGATCGTCACCCCTGCTTGCCCGTAGGGGCCAGGGGGGGAGAAAAATGCATCTCGTCGCCAGCTCCCTCCTTGCGGTGGCCCGGCACGTACACCGCGTGCGCCTGGGCGGGGGAGCGGGTCCCCTGCGGGGGGCTCATCGGTGGCGCCCCCCGGGTGGCTTGGGGTGGCGCGCCCGAGGGGAATGGCGCCCCCTCGGGTGGCTTGGGGCGGCACGATGGTGTCGTAATCTGAGCCCTACGGGGCGGACGCAGCTCGGAAAACCGTGTAGTAGGTGGCGAGCGAGCTGGCCTTGCGAGCTGGAGGTGGAGTTCGGAGTATTGCTGCTGCGGTGGGCTGATGACCCCCGTGACGGCACAGTGGCATGTGGCTGCAGTTGTTTCTCTTCTTCTCCCCTCCTCCTCGTTGGCTCGTTTCGTGGAGGCCGCAAGGGGACCGTGCCTGGTGGGAGGCATGGGGCGGCACCCAACGCGGTGTTTGTTCGTGGAGTGCTCGCGCGCAGTCTGTTGTTGCGCCACCTGCCGCTTGCTTGCGCTCCTGTGCCCCTTGGTGCACGCCGCGTCAATGTGCACGTGGGTCTTTTGCTTTTTGCACTTGCGCGCTCATCCCGCCCATTCCGCCCATTCCTCTTCTTCCTCCTCCTCCTCCTCCTCCTCCTCCTCCTCCTCCTCCTCCCTCCTCCTCCTCCTCCTCCTCCTCCTCCTCCGCCACCCGCGCGGCGAATGCTCGCGCGGGGCTGTCTCTCCAGCTCTCCGCCGCCTCTGGCGGTGTGCGTTGCGAGCAGGAACGCAGCAGAGCCGCAGGAAAGCGCGGCATTGGCAGTGTAGCCCCGCACACGTGACAAATGTTCACGAGCAGGAACACAGCAAAGCCCCAGGAGAGCGAGGCATTGACGGTGTAGCTCAACATTGACACGGCGGTGGCCGGGGAGCCCCCGCGACATGTCCACGAGCGTTGCTCCAGCCCGGCTCTCTTCGATGTCGATGGCAACCGATTCTTCGGGAGAGGAACAGGTATCCACACCTCTGCCCTTTCTCGTTTTCTCCCGTGGAAAATCATGGGAACCTGGTATGTCCTCTTATGTTTGTCGACTAGCATCGGTAAGCGTCGCGAGTCGATGAGATAGCGCCGATTGAGCGTCGGCTAGCGTCGATGCAGCGTCGATGCAGCGTCGACTAGCGTCGATTAGCGTCGATTTACAAGAGCCGACAAGGTGGCATGGGAGGCTCCCATGAGTTGCCACGAAGTTGTCTCCCCGTTTTGGGGGCCTCCTGGGCAGCCCTCGTCGCCACCGTTGGATTTGCTTCGAAATCTTGGTCAGAAAGCACCCCGAGGGAGGTCCAGGTAGTCCCAAGAACGGCATTCTGGCACGAGTCGGGATCGCCAAGACGCAGCAGTCAGGTTGATTCGTGGCGCTGGAGTCTTGAGAATGGTGTTTTGGAACGCGTCTGGGTCTTCAAACGGTTGTCTCCCAACGAAGCATTCCCCCCAGTGGAGATGAACCCTTGTAGTCGCCTGTGAAGAGGGAGCTTGGAGGGAGGGTTTATTCCAACATCGTTCATGAGTCTTGGGTTTACACTCCTCCTCCTCCTCCTCCTCCTCCCCCTCCTCCTCCTCCCCCCTCCTCCTCCTCCTCCTCGTCTCCCTCCCTCCCTCTTTCCCTCCCTCCTCCGTGTCAAACCTGCGGCAGCGGTGATGGACAACATCGGCCCAGCAGAGCCCCCGCGCCGCGCCGCTGCGCCCGCCTCCCCCCCGCCCTCCTCCCCCGCCTGCCTGGCCGCCCGACTGCGCCGCCGTCCAGATCCTGGACGCCACAGTCGCCACTCCTCCTCCTCCTCGCCCTCCTCTCCTCCTCCCCTCCTCCTCCTCCTCCTCCTCCTCTTCCTCCTCCTCCTCCTCCTCCTCCTCCTCCCTCCTCCTCCTCCTCCTCCTCCTCTCTCCTCCTCCCCTCCCCCTCCTCCTCCTCCTCCTCCTCCTCCTCCCTCCTCCTCCTCCTCCTCCTCGTCTTCCTCCTCCTCCTCCTCCTCCTCCTCCTCCTCCTCCTGCACGGGACGGGGGAAGCGGGTCGTCGCCCCGTCGGCTTCGTCGTTGCGGACGTGGCCGTCTGCGTCGTCGTCGTGGGCGTGGCCATGCGCGTGGGCGTCGTCGCTGCGGGGGTCGGGGGTCGACGTCGCCGTCGTCGTCGTCGTCGCCGTCGGCGGGCGGCGGCCCGGCAGGGCCGGCGGAAGGCGGCGCTGTAGTCGCCGTCGCCGTTCGCCAAGGGGGAAACGGGTCCTGAGGGAAACGGGTCCTGAGGTTTTTGCTCCGTTTTCGGGGGCGTCGGGGCCCTCTAATTAGGAGATCCGGGACTGGCAGAAAGCGACGCGGGAGGAAGATCTCGTCCCGGGGGGAGGCCCCAGGGCCCGGTGCCCGGTTCCCTCAGGACCTCCCCTCCTCCTCCTCCTCCTCCTCCTCCTCCTCCTCCTCCTCCTCCTCCTCCTCCTCCTCCTCCTCCTCCTCCTCCTCCTCCTCCTCCTCCCCCATGATAGCACGAGTTTCGTTACCTGGGTTCTGGATGCCACAGGTGGCTCGTAGAGCTTCCCTGAGTGCGAAGCAGCGGGAGCTGGAGTGACTCGTCGCTTTTCCCTCCGTGGGAAGCAGCGGGAGCGCCGGGCCCTGGCGGGAGGCGAGCGAGGGCGGCCTCTCGGCTACACGCGTTAGCGGCGCGACAGAAGCGGGCTCGGCTGTGCCGACAGTCGCGCGTGAGCTGCCCGCGTGAGGTCGCGCGTAGGCGCCTTCGTTACGTTTCCAATGTAGCGTTCCGCGCGGGTGGCCCGCGTAAGCCACCGCGCAAGGTCGCTGCGCAATCTCGCGTAAGACCCGTTTCTCTTCGTCGCTCACGTAAGCGTGATCTTTCGCCGGGTCGACCTGTGGTGCGGACCCAATGGGCCCCCCCGATCGCTGAATGCGATGCGACAGCAGCGGCTTGCGCGCATTCCCCAAAGGGGCCCACGCCTTCTTAGAACGCGTACCAAAGGTCACTCTTGCCTAGGCTCACTGGGAGGCGACGACAGGAGCGAATAGCCCAGGGGCGGTCGTGACACGTATCCCCTTGGGAGCCTTGCCGAAGACATGGGCCATCGGCGCCTCTGGATATATGTATTGCTCTTCCCTCGGCTATTCGCCCCTATCATCGGCTCCAGGTCACTCTCGTGTGCAGCCGAACTTCCCGCAGGGATGTTTGTCGGGGGCGGGACAGCATCGGCGGGGCGTCTCAGGGCAGGGCGTGCAGCATGCAGCGCGCGGTGGCGGCCGCGCCGCGTTGCCCTGGCGCGTGGCCGCGGGCGCGGCCGCTGCACCGACACGGCCGGCGTCGGCGGGGGGGGGGGCGGGGGAGTTGCTCTCGATTTCTCCAAGATGAAAATTCGGCATGAACGTGAGCTTTCGGAGCTCCGCGCGGGATGTATGGATCCGCGCTGGGCCCCACTGGCGGCGCCCCCGGCGCCGCCCCTGGCGCGCCAGGGGGAGGGTGCCAGCGCCGATCTCCCGAGAAGCCTGGGCGGACCTCCGAAAGTCCATGTCCTCAGGTGCCGAACGCCTTCGGGACTACACCTGGAGCATGCCGGAAACTCAGCGCGCGCGAAGCGCGCGCGTGGCTCCAGTTTCTGTCTATGGTCTATGCTGGCGCTTGACCCTCCAGAGTCGGGCCGCTGAAGCAGGAGCCCTGCTCGTTGCGGAGGGGCGCAGTGCTCCCCAGCGGTGTTGCAGCTTGTCTTGGGGTGTCCTTCTGGGTTCCCGCTGGGACAGCGAAGGGGCTCGTCTCGTGGAACACAAGGGGCCTCGCTCCTTCCTAAGGGTTCCTCATGGCAGCGTTGCGACCGCATGCTGGCGCCGCGCTGGCGGGCAGGCGCCGCCGTCGTTCTCGCCGCTCGCGCGCCCCGTCGCCCTCGGCGGCGGCCTGCGCTCCTGGCCGCGACCGCGGTCGCTCCAGTTCGGAGGGCCTCGCGCGGCGGCCTCGCGCGGCGGCCCTCGCGCGGCGCCCTCGCGCGGCGTCCTCGCGCGGCGTCCTCGTTCCGGGCTGGAGGGCCTCGCGTGGTCTCTCGGCCGTCGGCTGGACGGCCGCTCCTGGAGGGCCTCGCGCGGTGTCGGGAGCCGTCGCCGGCGGCATCGCGCCGCGAACCCGGCGGGAGCGGCCAACTCCGATGCGGTATGCATGTCGGCGCCGGTGGCGGATTCGGGCACGGGGGCGGCGGTGTGAAGTCCAGTCTTGAGCCGCCAGATGCTTGGGAGTCGTGGCCAGCGCTGGCTCCCTTGACCAGGGAGGACCCCGTCCTCATGCTTCTCCTTCTTCCTCCCCCTCCTCCGTCCATCTCCCTCCTACTCCCTACCTCGCTCCCTCACTCTCTCCCTCCCTCCCTGCCTGCCTGCCTGCATCCCTTCCTCCCTCCCTCCCTTCCTCCCTCCCTTCCTTCCCCTCCTGCTCCTCCTCCTGCTCCTCCTCCTGCTCCTCCTCCTCCAGCTCCTCCTCCTCCTCCTGCTCCTCCTCCTCCTCGCTCCTCGCTCCTCGCTCCTCGCTCCTCGCGCTTCGCTTCTCGCGCTTCGCTCCTCGCTCCTCGTTCCTCGCGCCTCGTTCCTCGCTCCTCCTGCTCCTCGCTCCTCGCTCCTCCTGCTCCTCGCTCCTCGCTTGTTGCTCCTCCTCCTCCTCCTCCTTCTCCTCCTCTTTCCCCTCCCTACCCCTCCTCTGCCCCTCCCTCCTCCTCCTCCTCCTCCTCCTCCTCCTCCTCCTCCTCCTCCTCCTCCTCCTCGTCCGCCTCCCTTCTCCTTCTTCCTCCTCCTTCCTTCCTCCTGCTTCCTTCCTCCTCCTTCCTCCCTCCCTCCCTCCCTTCATCCCTGCCTCCATGCCTCCCTGCCTGCCTGCCTGCCTGCCTCCTCCCCCTCCTCCTCCTCCTCCTCTCCTCCTCCACCTCCTCCTCCTGTTCCTCCTGCTTCTGCTTCTGCTTCTGCTTCCTCCTCCTCCTCCTCCTCCTCCTCCTCCTCCTCCTCCTCCTCCTCTGTCTGCTGCTCATCCTCCTCCTGCTCCTCCTCCTCCTCCTTATCCACCACCCTCGGTCCTCCTCCCTCTCCTTCTCTTCCTCCTCCCTTCTTCTCGTCCTCCTCACTCCTCCTTTTCCTCCCTCCGTTCTCCCTCCTCCTTCCTCCCTCCTCCTTCCTCCTCCTGCTCCCTGCTCTGCTATCCCTCCCCTGCCATTTGTGGGGCGGAGTCGCCCCCCGCCCCCCCCCCACCCGCGCGCGCACGCGGTGCAGGCGTGTTCGTTCTGTCGTTCTGGGTCGCCTACCCGTGGGTGTACTACTGGAGTAACCCCGACAACCGCGGGATCCAGATGGCGTCCGAGGCTCCCCCCCCCCCGGAGACGACCAGTCGACCTCCAACGCAGTCGTTGAGGGTCGTTTGGGTATCGCTCCTCCTGTTCCCCCTCCTCCTCCTCCTCCTCCTCCTCCTCCTCCTTCCTCCTCCTCCTCCCTCCTCCTCCTCCTCCTCCTCCTCCCCTCCTCCTCCTCCCCCTCCCCCTCCTCCTCCTCCTCCTCTCCCTCCCCCTCTTCCTCCTCCTCCTCCTCCTCCTCCTCCTCCTCCTCCTCCTCCTCCTCCTGAGCGCAGGCGGCGTTCCAGCGCCAGGAGGCGCCTGAGACAGACAAAGGACATCCTCATACTGCAGCAACACCACGGCAGCATGGCGCCGTCCATCCAGTGTGCGCGCACGGACTGCAAAGGTTGTGGTGACTACAGATGGGGGAGGAAAAACTGGTGGTGTACCAAAGGCTGGAAGACAATCCGGCCAGAACCGCAGGAGGACGCCACCAAGCCCAAGTACGAGACGAAGTACGAGACGTAGTGGTCGCAGCCATGGTCTAAAAAAAAACAGTGGAAGAGCTGGCGGCGTCAAAGCCATTTTGGCGAGTGGAAGCAAAACGACGACGCACAGGACGTGAACGTCGATTCCCTCACGAAGACGCTTGAGCAGCTGGTGACAAAGCTGAGCGGAGGCCCGACCAACACGGCGATCGGGAACCATGCCACGGCGCTGGCAGCGCAGATCGCCAAGGAGAAAGCAGCACAGGAGCAAGCACCGCAAACGTCGAAGGCCGTAAGACTCGCAGAGGCGGCCAGAGAGTTAGAGCAGGCGAACAGGCGCTACAACCACAAGCAGATGGTCTACGAGCAGCACTTGGCAAAAGGGGACAGACTGCGACTCGAAGCGGAAGAAGCAGCAGAAAAAAAGTCCTCGAGTCAGAGTACGCGATCCAGAGAATCCATGAAGAAACGGGAGGCAACCACCGGACGCAGGGGCTGCTGGAACAGCTCATGCAAGGAGACATCTCGAGACTCACGGAGGCGGCCATGAAGAGCATCGAGGAAGAGCTGGCAGCAGACGATGAACTGGACGGAGAAGCCATTGCAGAGATCGTCAAAGCCAAGCAAGACCTCATCCAGAAGATGAAGAACGAAGCGCAGACCTTCAAGGGCCACCTGGACACCTTCGTGAAGGACACCAAGGAACGCGCCAAGGAGCAGCGCAAAGAGATACGGCAGAGAGCAAAGAAAAGAAAGGCAGACAACGGACAACCCGCGAAAAAATAATAACCCACACCTGCAGGAGATCAAGCCACAAGTGCATCGAGTACACCACCTGCGCCAGTGGAAGCGAAGGCAGAAGCAGGTGGCAAGGACAAGAAGTACATGGACGACACCCTGGAGAAGAAGAGGCTCGCGAAGGCCGCGGGCAAGGGCATGATGAAAGAGGAATAGGGCAATGCGTCGGGGAGGCAGCGGAGAGCCGACGCTGATCCCCAAAGACGTCTTTTCTTCGGCAATTACACGCAGTGGGGGCCCAAGGTGCACACATGGTTGCGGAAGGCGATAGAGAAGAAACCATGGGACGATGGCTACTTCGACGCCTTCGCATTCCAAGAGACGCACCTTGGGCATGACGAGGTCGAGCTGCACGAACAGACTACACAACATGGGGTTGAAAGCAGTCGCAAGCGCAGCCAGGCCGTCACGTGCATCCTCAACGGGGACCTACGGCGGTGCGAGTATCGCGATCAGGTCACACCATCAAGCATCGACTTTTAGAGAGATTGCCTCGCGGGAGACAGTCAGTGGCGCCACAGCTGGTACCCTATACTCGCAAGAGGACGGGTTACAATTCTTAGATTGGGTGCCGATGGCATGGCACCTCCAAGGTTTCACTTTGTTAGTTGTCAGTATCTACATAGACGGCAACTGCGCGATCCTGAATGGCACCAACGGCCGCAAGATCGCCACGCTCACGAGTTTCCTCCACAGCATCAGTCAACCATGGGTCATTATGGGAGACTGGAACCACACGCCGAAGCAGGTATGGGACACTGGTTGGCCCAAGCAGATCGAAAGCAAGGTAATGACCTTGCCAGGTGACTCATGCACCTGCTTCAAGCGCGGCAGCGAGCCGTCGCTCATAGACATCGCACTGGTCAGCTACCAAGCGGAGCGCCACATCAGCCACATCGCGGAGATCACGGACGTACCTTGGAGACCCCATATCGGACAGTGCTTAGTCATCAACGGGGCCACCCAGGACAACATGATGGGAACGCTATCATTGCCACGGCCATTCAGCCACCCGAAGCTCGCCGAGCCCCTGCCCAATCCTGACAGTAAACGGCAGAAGAAGCTGAGCAAGCAAAAGGAGGCAAAGGGACATCGCAAAGTACAGCATGAGGCAGACCATCCACCACAGGAGCCAGCACAACAACTCCACATCCAACGGCGACAAGTACAACAACTGGCTGAGGCAGCACGATGGGGAGCACTCACGCCATGTTGATGGACAGGGTTCCCTACGGAGGCTGCTATCAGTGAGGAGGGGAGGGCGAAAGCCTATAAGGCCAAGCCGCCCACACCTCGCGGAGATATCCAGGTCGGCGGCCAGGAGGAGGACATCGACCCCATCGACGAGTTCGAGCACCACCTGGACATAGAGGAGAGCGAGCGCATGCAGCAGGACAGCAGCGGGGACCAGGAGGGCTCCAAGCAAGCACAACCAGTAGCGGAGGCTCTACTTGTACAACTGGGAGGAGACGCCGACCAAGAGGGCGAGACGGAGCACAGTCCACCGCAGGTGCAGTACAAGCCAGAGCAAGATAGACCCACCACTTGCATGGGCGGCCTCCGGCACTGCATGACGCTGCTACCGACGCGCGCTACCACCGCGAGCACCACACCACCCACAAGCATTACGGAGAGCGCAGCATACAAAGCCACGGGGGGTGAGACCGTGGAGCCAGGGGCGCAGTGCGCGAGGCTCGTGCAGGACATGGAAAACTTCTACTGCGCGGCCTACCACATCCCGATCAAAGAAAGGAAATTGTTCAGGGGAACAGGCCTGCCAAACGAGCTCAAATGCAAAGAGCAGAAGGAACGAGGACCCTGACATGCACGCTACACGGACCACAACGCAGACTGGTGGCACAGGACGGCAAACACCTTGAACATCATCGAGCAGCTCAAGAAGCGCAACCGTGGGAAAGAAATGCAGGACAGGGCAGCCACTACGTGCAGGCTGCTGGCGGTGGAGGGACTACCACCACTCGGACATCAAGCATCGGCATCGGCAAGGTTACACAGGAAGATCTGGAAGGCACGGCTACTCAACATAGACAAGCAGGACATCGACATAATAGAAGGCATGCGAATTCAAGCAGAGCAACAAGCGCACACAGCGCTCAAAGAGGACATCGCGAAGGGCAGAGAGGCATACATCAAATGGATCACGACGGCAGCCAAGGAACCGCCAGGGAAAATGCACACCATCACGAAGGACGGGTAGCGCTACGAGCAGGAGCTCTTGCGCAACCTGGACAAGAAGCACTCTCCTATGGGCAAGATGGACACCAAGCTTGCAATCTTTGAGAGCACCTGGCACAAGGGACACAGCACTGCAGACGTAGAGCTCTACAGGACCTGCGACGGACAGCACAGCGGACAGAGGCACCGACATGGTCGCTAGAGCAGCTAGACCAGGCAATACAAGGCGCGCCAGACAAAGGAAAAGGAGTATATCCGATGTGCATGACGGACCTACGCCGTCTCCCAACGCAGGGACGCAGCAGCTTCGTGCACATGTACAACGGGTGCGAGAAGGCCATCGCATGGCCCTGTCCTTGAGGCGATCATCATGCTCGAGCCCAAGGGAGCCAGCCAGCCATCGCGCCACGCGGTCAGCACAGGCGGAGACAGAGCACTGGCACTACTCAGTTGGTTTGGCAGATGCTGGGAACTGCTCAATCGAGAGCAAGTACGATACTGGGTTAAGGAGATCAAGTTGCCGCGGGGCGCCGCAGTACCAGGACAGGGCTGCCTGCGAGAGGCCATGCTCAGGATCATCGACGACGAGACCGCGGACGCCCTAGGTGCAACGACAGCAGGTGCACTCATAGATATCGAGAGGTTCTACGACAACGTCGAGTTTGAGTACGCAGCTCGTGCAGCGCAGCACTACAATTTCCCAGCCCGCATCCTGGCCATGTCGCTACTCCAGCACATGACGTCGAGACTCCTACGACAAGAAGGATGCTACAGCGAACGCACGTTGGCCAGCAAGTCCCTGGTGACGGGCTCTAGACGCAGCAACAACCCGGCACGGGCCCTGGTCTACGTCACGATCACGAAACACCTGAGCCGATGTCCAACCCCATAATCTGGTTCGACGACATCAGCCTCAGAACCACAGGCAGCCAGGCGTCGGTGGAGTGCGACATCGCGAACCAAGTCGTGTCACTCAACGCACAGCTGGAAAAGAGCAACCTGAAGATGGCAGCAAAGTCAGTAGTATTCGGCCCCACCAGCAAGAGCGCAGCGAACATCACCAAGCAGCTCGCCAAGCACAACATCAAGGTCAAACCAGTTAAAGAAGGGCGGGACCTGGGGCTCGACAGAGGCGCGAAGCTTACCACATCACGAGGGACACACAGGGCCAGAAAGATAAAAGCAGGGAAGAGGTTCAACAAGGTTGGCAAGAAACTGAGGCTGCTGAGCACCAAGCAGATCAAGGGCATCGTGGAGCAAGGGGCGATGGCGTCGGTGCTCTATGGATGCAATGCGTTTGGCAGCCCCCCGTCGGAAATCAAGGACATCAGAAGACAATGTGGCATAGCGCTCAGACGTACGTGGACAGGTAGATGTTTGAGCACCCTACTGGCGTTAGAAGGGGGCGACCCAGCTCGAACGATTCCACGCGCCCAACTCACATCCTGGTTTGACCTATGGGCGAGACGCCCTGAGATCCATGACGCGGTCCACAGAGCCTGGCCGAGCATCCGTCGAAGAATGCTACAAGGCACACGCGAAGGAATATGGAGGAAACGAAGGGGCATCATCGGCAGCTTGGTCCTGCAGTTTACGGAGCTGGGTTGGGGCCCTACGACACCGGCGAGATGGGCGGGCAGCAACGGTGATCAATGGGCCATGGGAGCAGGACACGAGGAAGACCCGACAGACGTCACCGACCACATCATGAAGGACGTGGAACGTAACATCTGGGCAAAGGCAGCGAAGCACCACAACGGGAAAGGTCTCGAGCAGGGAGCGGACTTCACGGACGTCAAAAACATATCAACATGCTCAAGAAGAATGAGAAGTACCAGGAATACGGTGATGAAGTTGTGTTTGCTCCCCCAAGAGTTGCCAATCTTCATGAAAGTCAGCCCTCTGACCCTCCTCCTCCGCCCTCCTCCGCCCTCCTGGACCCGCTATTCGCCCCTCCCCCCGCCCTCCCTCCAGCTTCTCCCTAACCTCCAGGGGCGCTCACCTCTCACCTCCGCCCCTCCAGCTCCAAGGCTTCTTTTCCCTCCCCTTCCGCTGGGGAACGCTCGCCCTCTCCCCCCCCTCGCGCTCGCCTCTCTCTTTCGCGCGCTCGCCCTCCCTCCCCTTTTCGCGCGCCCCCCCTTCTCGCCCGCCGAGGCTTGTGGCCCAGGGCGGCCCAGTGGCCGCGCTCCCATAGCCCCCATACCCCCTGATGTTATGTTTTCCTTGGGCTGTGAATTAGAGCCCAAGGAAAACATAACATGTGTTGAGTGTTGATGTTATGTTTTCCTTGGGCTCTGGATCCTTTGGCTCTGTTTTCCTTGGGCTCGGGGGGCATGGGGGCCATTGGAATGCGGCGGGTGGCGGGGTTTCGGAGCGCAGCGCCGCGCCGCGATCGCGGCGCCGCCGCCGCGCCGCGGGCCGCGGGGCCGCGAGGACTACCGCGCCCGGCCCCGCCGCGCCGCGGGGGAGGGAGGGGGGGGGGGAGGAGGGGAGGGGGGGAAGGGGGTGGGGGAGGGCGGAGGAAAGTAAGAGGCAGGAGGCTGAGGCAGACGAGTCGAGCGCGGGGGAGAGGGGAGGCCGTGGACGGAGAAAGCGGAAGAAGCGAGTATAGGGGGAGGCGGAGAAAGGAGAGGGCGGGAAGGGCAGGCGGGGGCAAGGGGGGCGGGAGGGCGGGAGGAAAGCGGGAACAAGGGAGGGAGGGCAAGAGGCGGGGGGGGGAGGAGTGGGCGGCAGGGTGGGAGTGCGAGCGAGAGGAGTGGACGGCAGCCTTTTGAGGTTCAGGCCCCCCTCGCCGCTCCGGCCCCAGCAGGTTCGGGATTCTGGGAATCCCAATGGTGGGCCCCCGCGGTGGCCGCCAGAGCAGTCGCAGCGACGTCGATCGATCGAGTCGCTGCGACCGCCCTGGCGGCGCATGCGCTTCGGGGGGGCCATCTTTGGGAACCTCGGAATCCCGAACCCGC